AGGAGTTGGCCTCTGTCTAGAGGGGAGCCTGTTTTGCTAAAGTAAAAAATTTTTTTTTATGAAATACTATACTTGCACTCCGGAAGTTCATTGTTTCTTTTCCAAATCTGGACATGTCCTCTCAAACCATGTAAAAATCAAGATGGAACTCGGTGAGGGGCTCGTGTTCAATATATACGATACTAGTGGCTGTTCAAGCACCTAAAAAATATGCATCTCAAACTATAGAGTGCAGAAAGAAGAAGGACACAATGTCATTGTAGATGGGTGTTCGTCCCACCTATGCTTGTATGCTATCCACTCGTGCCATGCCGTCCTTACTTGCCGCTCGAGCCATGCCCTCATGCCCTGGATCAAGTTCGCCCAGGAATCCCCATCTACTTTGATCCTTCCATCCCTTTGCCTGCCAGTCATTTGCAGTCTTTGGATAGACATCCCCTACTTCCATGAGGCTATTGTCATGGGCGACGACGGGAAAAAAATCTTGTCATAGGCATCAAACTCGGTCGTCTTTGCGTACACCAAGATCAAAGCGCGGAGTAGAATACTTGCGGGTGCTGCTGGGGTGTTCGCTCAGGAACGCGAAATCGCACCAGCCCGTTTCAGTAAGTAAGCGATTTCCGTTTTTGCAGTGACGAGTAAAAGTTTGTGAGGAGGAGGAAGTAGAGCCTGGCAATACCAGAGGTCTGGTGTGGATATAAAGTATGTGTGTAGGGTCCCTGTGCTGCATGATCTATCAATAAGGGGTGCAGTCCATGTCCCGGCAGATAGGAAGTTTCGGGTACGGCTCCGCGAAAAGTGGTTGTCACTCATGCCACATCAAACGGCCGGAGATAGGAAATGCGGAGCGAGATAGATGAGCCGGCTTTTCTAAGACCCGGCGTGAGCCGATGAAAACTAGTAGAGGCGGGGTGCCTGGCGGGAGGTCGTCTGTTTTCGCAAGCATTCTCCATGCGGCTGTACATCAATCTCCGTCAACAAACTTTTGGTGCATAGAACTAAGGATACATCACGTAGGGTGATTATGGCTGAATTTGTACCCTATATATAACCTTCAGCTGTAGTCTACTTTCATTTCTGAATTGACCGGTACGGGAGAGTACCGCCTGATTAAAAAAAAACGTCTGTGAATGCCTATGCGAATGGAAATTACATGGCAGCCCTTAATAACGCAGACTCGAAATCGCCATTTCGCATGCTCGACAACGCTGTTTCTACGTCTTGTTGCATATCGTGAAACCACAGCCAGTTGAATCGACCCTGCTGAAGACGGGGCAAGATCTTGTTCATGTCGTCGCCTGCTTCTTCGTGTTGGAAGAAGATCATGCGCGCAACCTCAGCTGCCTGCTCCAACTGCTTCTGAGCACGTGGCCGTCGTACCGAGTCATATGCACTAAGACCTGCGGAAATTCTGGCATCAATATTGACTTGTTGTCTTGATCTTGCAGCAATGTCTGCCAATATCTTTGAAAGAACAAGAGCATCCTCGAGACCTTGAGCAGCGCCCGCTGCCTGGAATGGCAAGGATGCATGGGCAGCATCGCCTAGAATAGCCACGCGGCCGCGGAAATATGTTGAAGTCCGCCAGTGATGAAAAAAGCCCCATCGGATGGGATTGGCCTTGGTCAAAAGCTGGCGAAAGCGGTCATCAATGTCTGGTCCCTCGAAATCGGCCATCATGGCTTCATGTGAGACCTTCTCTGTCACTGCATTATCCAGCTTCCAGCCTTGCTTATCTGCTACACACAGAAGGTAGTTGAACTCCTATGACAACAGTGATAAGCAAAAGATCAGATTGTCGGTCTCAGACATGGGTACTGGCTTACCTCTCCCCCTATATTCGGTACGTTACGGCGCTGCGGTTATGGCCAAAGTAAAACTTGGCGACGTCGGTCAAATCTCCAAGAATAGCTTCGGCCTCTGCCATTGGAATGACAGCACGGTAGCAATACGCATCAGCATAGACTGGAGCTACTTGCTCAGGAAAATGAGGCTTCAGGACATGCTCTCGGACTGTACTCTTGATGCCGTCGGCACCGGCAAGGACGCTGGCTTCTGCGACTTGACCATCGGCGAATGTAAGGACAACCTTGGACGGTTGCTGTTCGATATGCACCAGGCGCTTGCTGAATTTGACATTTTCCCGTGGAATGAAGCTGGTCATGATATCAAGCAGCGCCTTGCGATGTGCCTAGTAATAGTAAGCATCACTTGTGTAAACAACGACAAGTTGGGCCACATACAGATTTGCGGTCAAAGTCAGGATGGCCCCACGCAGACTTGCCGTACCATGGCTGGTCCTTTCCTGGGGCTCTTGGTGAGCAAGGGGCACAGAGAGAAGGAATGTAATGTAGGAAAAAGCTCATACCCAGACCTTCGCTAAGCAGCAGTCCCTCGAAAAAGATGTCTTGGTTTTGGGCGCCCTTGTTGCCTACGCAAATCCTTTCATACAAGGGGCGGAATGCGGGCTCGATCAGATCCATAGTTCGCATGCCGTTTGGCGCGAAGCCTATTCCAGCACTCAGAGAGGATAAGCGACATAAGGAGTTAGGAGTAGCATGGTGATGATGATGACGTACCCTACGGCTGAGAACTCCCTGGCGTCCTCGTAGAGTGTAAAGGGAACACCCTTTTTGTGCAGAGCCATAGCCAGCGCAAGACCTCCAATGCCCGCACCTAGATTTCTTATTGGTGATTTGGGACACAAGATACACGAGTCAGTCCGGGGGCATATTATTATTGTTCCATTAGAGTCTAGTGAGCTCGAGGCTATGTAAGACTTTGGCCGAGGCCGTTCTAACTAGATTTATTTACAAATACGAGTTTGTGCTTGAAGTGTG